CTCAAATTAAAAAATTTATAAAAAATTGACCTTTAATTAATTAGCTTCTCTGACTAATCAAACAGCGGAGATCAACTTAGGTACGACTCTTTTACCAAAAAAAAAAAGCCTTAGGTACGACTCTTGGGTCGCTGTCTCATCTACTAACAATAAACAAATATGCTAATTTTATTTCTTTACTAGATTAGGAATTAGCGTTTTCTATGCTTAATCCAAAAAACACCTAAAATTAAAGTATTTAATCAGAAAAACATAACCAGAGTTAACTGGAAGCGTGTACTGGGTTTAATCATTAATGTATGGATTGGTCCTCAACTCAGGGATTTAATCCATTGTGGTCCCTATTTTTGTATTAAACTTTTTTTTGGCTGTTTTTGATTATTTTGTCAATTGACAATGACAGAGAACTAAACTAGCAGATTTTTATTAAAAATTCATATTTTTAAAATTCTTAATATTATGTGAGAATACTAGTAATTTCTATTAAAAATTATTATTTTAATTAAGTAACTTTAATGTTAGGAATATGCCTTGAATTACTTGAAAAAAATATAAATAACATGAAAAAAAGAAGGTTTTGGAACCTTGCCTAAAATTTAAGAACTTGAAGACCAAGAAAAGAAGCAAAATGTAGCAAGGTTCCAAAACCTTTATGCAAGATTAGAAATATTTAGAGGAGATTAAGAGTAGATTTTTAATATTGTAACTCTTTTCTTTAAATCAATATATTTCTTATCTTGTTTTATCTTTCCATGTTAAATTAGGGTTTATTCTTATTATTTTACTTTATTATTATTTGTTTGCATAAGTTTTTCTTTAAATCAACAAATCTCGTATCTTACCTTATTTTTCCATGTTAAGTTGGTGTTTATTCTTATTATTTTACTTTATTATTATTTGTTTGCTTAATTTTTTGGTAATTCAAATCCCAACTATTGGTATTAGAGCATTAAATGAAACTTTTATTCCTAACAATAATATTAGAGCTTATGGGTCTAACTATGGACAATACGAACATGCACAACAATTTTCAAAGTCAAGGTAAAACAAAAAAAGATATGTATCTAATGGCCCTCAAAATCAAGTATTATACATCTATCTTTTTTGTTTTGTCAATTGTACTCCTAAATATGTCCACATAAAAAGGAAAAAAAAAAAAAGAGGTTAAACTTGAATTTCATGAAAATTTGGTAGTTAAAACAGATAGCAGTAAATTTCTTAATGGTAAAAGTGTTAGGACAGAGGGACCAAAAGAGAGTTGGGAAAACAAGTTTAAAGAACATTTTAGTGCGAAAAAAGTTCATGGATCAAAATGGCAGCAAGTCCCTAAGTTGAGGGAACAACCCCAATATCCCATAAATCAAACCCACTCATATATATATATATGAAAAAACCTACACATATTTAAATTATTTAATTAAACTTCTGAAAGTGTCAATTATTTTGTTTTATTTATTTATTTTTCTCTCACTAAATTTTTGCCTCTTTGCGTCTTTGTTGCTTCCTCAACTCTCAACTGCCTCCAACTCCTCAGACCGCAGACTCCTTCGAAGGAAAACGTTCTCCAGGTTCAATATTCTTTTCTAATTCTTCTTCGTAAGCGGTTTTATTTTGTGGAATTTAAAGGATTTTCATTTTATCCTTGTTTTGGTAGACCAGATTTTCCTTTGGTTTTACTCTCGTTCCTGTCTGCAATTTTAGTTTAATTTCTCTGTTATTACTTATTTCTGCTTAATATGATTTGGGTTTTTATGTTTTTTACTTGATTGATGGTAATTTAGCAATACCCATCTTGTGAGTAAAAAAAACCCAACTTGAAACAGTATTTAAAAACTGTTACTTTGGAGCTTCAATTCCGTGTTAAAGATGTGTTTTTATGGTTGATCTCTGGGGCTTTAATTTGATCCTTTTTTTATTGCATTTTAGCTGTTTATATTGAATTTTGTAGAATCAACAGCGAGGCTGTTTGTGACATTTAGGGGAATCGAGGACGAAGAACAATAGGGGTGGTGGCAAACGCTGTAAAGATAAATCAGATGCAGCATGAAGTTTCAATTGGGAATTGCACCCCAGGTGGTGACCAATCTGGTGGTTTTTCCGGTCCTGACATTGAGAAGCAGGGAAACAGTGTGGTATCGGGTCAAGGTGAGAGAAACCAGGGTTCATCAGGGGATTCAGGAGTTGAGGGCAATCCAGAACTGCTAACCATCGTGGTTACAAATGGGGAGGGGAAATTGGCAAAGGATGTGGAATCCAGTGAGGTGGAGCTGCATTCTGTGGCATCACCTAAGAAAGCGAGTTTGTCAAGAACTGATAGTTCTAATGAACAGTGCAGGTTAAATAGAGTCTCTGGCATGTCATGTCTACCATGAATTTAGATGTGGTGGTGAAATAGATATTCTTATGGAGCTTTTATTTTTTAATTCTCAGTTATGTTAGATTGTTGGATTCCTGATGTTTTGTAAATCTAAGTTTTGCAGAGCATTAACGTTATCATATGGTTTTTTTTTTTCATTTTTCCTTTTTCCTTTTTTTTTTTTTTTGGAAAAGGCAAGCAATTTCCATTGAATGTCATCACATGGATTTTATTATTAGTGGAGCATCAAAATAATTAATTGATGGTTTATTTATCAAGTACTGTTAGAAACCATGGATAAATCTTTAATCTTATGTTGGCATGTTAAAATTCCTAAATCCCAAGATTTCATGTGCATTGCTTTTGGCATACATCATACAATCATATTTAGCTGTTTATTCAGTTTCTTACTGCATAAATCAGTGGTGATTGTAAGCCCCAGCTAATTTTTCTCTTTTGAGAACTGTAATATGAATCATAGGTTTACCAGTTTTCTTTCAATCTTAAATCACATTCCTCATCCATCAGTAGAAGAAAACTTTTCTGATATTGCTGTGTATATTATCCTCCAGAGTTTGTCAGCAGGAGAAGGAAGAAGTTCTTATAGAACTTGGTTGCCAATGTCGAGGTGGTCTTGCAAAAGCCCATCGATCTTGCATAGATGCTTGGTTTCGTACTAGAGGATCCAACAAATGCGAGATATGCCAGTAAGTCATTCAAAAATATTTCATACCATATGCTAAGTTTGCTTATTTTTGAACATATCGTAATGCCATTAAATGCTTTATGTAGAGCTGTAGCTGGGAATGTGCCACCTCCGGAGACACAACCAAGTGTAGGTATTCTGAGCCTGAGTGGAAGGATTAATGATAAAAATCCTTGGACATTTCTTGTTTCATCTAGTCATGATCTAGTACATGTGTGTGTTTGTTATTGACACTGCTTTAATTTATATCATGTTTCCTACCAGAGGGTTCCCAGAAGCAAAACCAAACATCGGTCATAGATATTAAACAAGATTGAAGATTTAAATCTTGAGCACTTACAATGTTTTTATTTTGTTTTCATATTATATCTGTTACAAGTGTAACTATTCTAAGAGGGTAAATATCTAATAACAACTGAATTTGTGTAGGCTAATGTTGGCTATATTTTGAGTCCAAAAAAAGAAAAAAAAAAAAAGAGCTTTTAGAACATGACCATGTAGCCTTGGATTTTGAGTTTTGTTTGTAACATATAGCAGGGTTGCTGAGTGGTAAGCACCATTTTCTGCATTAATTCTTACAGTTATACAGTCATTATAAAAGTTGGTTAATTGATGTTTGGTACAAAGCAAACATAAAATATGGTTATTAGGGTCTATAAATTTTGATATATTGGTAATTTATTTATAGCATCAGACTCCCATCTTTATTTGATTTCTTCATTTATTTCCATGCAGCACGCAAATTACTGGGTTTGGAGGATTGACCCAAACTATAGACCCCATGACCGTGAAAGGGTAAGTAGCTAACTTTTACCAGTTTGTTACAGTTATGCTTATTCTGGAGAGAATTGTTACGGTTCAGTCCTACTTATGGCAGGGTTGTTTCAGTCCCCTTTGGGTGGCATTCTCGATTCTTATTGGTGGTCTACTGTTGGATGTGCTAATATCCATAACGCTTGGCGTCTCTGCTTTGCCTGTTAACATCATCATTGGTATGTAGATATATACATCACTTCTGTATGAACTGTATACTTCACGTTCCTATTTGTTTCTTTAAAGCACGTTCTTCACAAGTAGAGTAGTTTCTAACTTGTAGAGGCATCTCACAGGTGTTATTGTTGTCCTTGGGCTTGGAACTGCTCTTCGACTTGCACTGGAATTCTGCCATGAATGGAGTTTGAGGAGAGTTGTGCAAAGGGTCGAAACAAATGTGAATCTTGGATACCATCCTGCGTTGTAGTTAAACCTGTACATAGTAGAATTTGAGTTTTCAAGTGAACTATCTATTTCTTGTGTGAATAAATGTTCACCTTACTATTTTGTTCTGTGAGGAAGCCATGAAGTGTTGCTGCTTAAATCAATACACCATGTTGCAGTTTGATTCATCAATGCTTTTTGATAATTTAAATGATTCAGGTCACTGTGGTGACAGCGTATACATTGGTGTCTTGTTTTCCTACCACATGCTGTTTAATTCAGATGATTACCGTGAAACTTGAAATGCAGGAAGTAGTCTTTTGACAAATGCATTTTTGTATTATCGCTTCCTACATCATGCTGCAGGGATATGATCTTATGAGAAATATTTTAGTCTCAGCTATTTTGCATTGGCTTGAGTAGCACCCTGATGGTGAGAAGGAAGTGGCAAAATGCTCGGACCATGAGGTTCCTATAATTGGGACTGATGCCAGTGAGCAAGATAGGGCAGGGATTGGGGAGGAGAGGAATAGGCATAATGCATGTGATGGGGAATAAATATGGGTATAGCTCCCTTGAGCCTCCAAATCCTTCCGCTTCTCTCTACTTTTTGCCAACCTTCTTTTGTTTCCCTTTCTCTTTTTTTTTTTTTGACAAAAGTAATAGTGAGTAAGTTAGTTTTATTAATTGTTAGCATTTAGGGATTCGATATTCAGATCTAATAAACATTCCACCTCCCTCAACGAAGAGGGCAGCCCTCGATGAAGTTCCTTCTTTTGTTTCCTTGAACCATGCAAGTGGGCTAGCTTTTCAATAAAGTAACTTGACTACTTAAATTAGCGTTTTTGGCATACTATTTATTATTAACCATTTCATAATTCTCTTTTAGTATTATTATTATTATTTTGATTCCTTAATTTGAATTTATTTTTTGTTACATAATGGGAAGTCCTTTTTTTTATTCATTTTCTTATTTATTATCTCATTTCATCTATATATTATACAACTCAAAT